AATTGTAAACATATGTGTATTTTTTAAACACGGTTTTCGATCGAAACATTATTATTTTGCGAATTTCGATACAATCGATTATAAATGCAATATTATCTTAATAATTGTTAAAAAAAAAAAAAAAAAAAAAAAATAAAACTCGGAAACAATGTTTATTTTTTTTTATACAAAAGTAATCCGAACCGTTTGTTTCCGTTTACGTTTTCAAAAATAATGTGTCTATAACTCTGTACCCGAATTTGTCAAGTTGTTCAAAACGCAACATTAGCTGGCTATTTTGATTTAACGTTCGAACGTTTAATACGTTTTGGACAAACGTTTACACCGGCGACCCCGAGCGCCGCAGCTGGTGCCCGTGAAACACACACGCACACACACACACACACGCACACAAACACACACACACACATACACACACACATACACACACCGCATTATCGCCGGCAGTTATTACGTATAATATCGGCACGATCGTTTTCATAAACAAATATCGGAAATCCGGCAGGCGTTCGAAGGTTAATTATACACGCGTGGGTACGCGTCGAATCCGGATTCGAATCGGGTATTATACATGTTGGTGCCGGGATTTCGGATTTCCGAAACTCCGGACCCGCCGACGAATCCGGATTTTCGCGCAATCGCGCCCGGTCGTGTGGTACATCCTGGCACCGCAACGGCGCGCCGTACCTGTATTGTATATACGTGTACGCGTGCGTATATATTATTTTAACGTTTCGTCGCGTATATAATATTCTAATATTATGCAAATCGTCGCGAAAAAAAAAAAAAAAAAAAAAACCATCGGCGCGCGGAATGCGCGTCAGCGATTTTTATTTATTTATTTATTTATTTTTTTTTTCTCCTTTTCATCCGGCGAAAGGCGACGTTCGCGCGCGCACACACATATACGTATATAATAATAATAATAATAATATTATAGCGTTACTATTACTATCATCATTATTATCATTATCATTATCATTATTATTATTATTATTATTATCGTACGTACGCTATGTCGGTACGGTATGCGCGAGCGCGCGGGGTCGGCGAAAGTACGTCCGGCTCGGCCGCGACCGTCGGCAGGGAAATGCGCCTCCGGTCCGGCGACGGTAGGCCGGTTTTCTAGGTCAAAGAATGCGCCGGGACGAAGGACCTTCGGAGGTCGTTCACTCACACCACTGCGACCGGTCGTTCGGCCCGTACCAGACGTCGGCGAACCGTTTCTTTCTGTAGAGAGAATAAAAAAAAAAAAAAAAATCGCACACGCCATTTTATAGCGGGACACGCGATCGGACCGCAGACGTGTAATCATATTATTATCGTCGTTATTATTATTATTTTACCGGCCCCGAGAAAGAACATACTATATGTTATGGGGCTCGGAATCGTTTTTTCGCGTACCCGTTTTTTTTAAATTTTCATACGCGGTTTTAGATTCCGCGAGCGAAGCGATGACGAACGTAATTTTTCACGAACGGTTTTACAACCACTGCGTTTGTTCTTTTGTTATTTTCACCACGACTTTTCTACCAGAAATCTTGCACAGATTTTCACTGTTGTAGTTAGGTTTTCTGAAAGGAAATTTTATCCGGGGCGGCACTACTTTAAGCGGATGTTTTTTTTTTATTTTCATAATAATTAAGAAATAAAAACGGGAAAATTTATGATACGTATAATTTTCAACTTTGTCTTTTTGGTTTTTTTTTTAAAAAAAAACAAATATCTGTAGAGACTCGAAATGTGGACAGAAGATTTTTCTTTTTTAGACGCGGCAAAATTTTCAAATCATTTTAGCCATTTTCGAACTTTTTGTAGACATTTCAATTTTGCGAGTTTTTTACGTAGTTTTTATTTGGCAAGAACTGTGTGGACAAAATTGTAAAACCAAACAGAAATTCTTTAAAATTTAACAGGTGGTTTATTATAAGTCGTAATTTGTAAATTTTTTTTTATAAGAATTATTTTAATATTAAATTTTGACGAAAATCGTGAATGATTATTATTCGGTTTAGAATTGTTAGCGATGATAGTATGATACAGACTCCTCTGTATATTCTACTTTCCAAACTTCTTACCTATAACATCATGCGAAGTATGTTTTTCTTTTTTCCCATAATTGCTCATAAGTTTTCCATAATTTTCGTCATTATTCCCTGAGACCAAAATTATAATAGATACCTAAAATACTTATTATATATTACAGACTATTGTTTTGCCACTTACATTTATAATATTTATGCAAAAAATTCTCGCCATATTTGTGGAGATCTTATCACTTACTTATATATTATTATTATGGTATGGATATCGGATATTAATGAAGGACAGTATGCGGATTTTTATTACTATTATTGCCATGATTACCATACAAATAGCGAATCAAGACGTTTTTAAATCTTGTCACTTAAGTTAATGATCTAGTGTAGAGAGTAAACAAAGTTGAGAAAAAGTTTTTTAACGACTAATTTAAGTGAAGCAATCATAAAAAAAAAATAATAAAACATAAGCTAAGTTAATGTTAGTTTAAAAATGAAAACGAATTTTGAGTACTGAACATTTTCAGGAAAATAATAATTCAAGTTCAGTAAAAAGTTAGTTTTTGTTTTGTTTTTAAATCACTCTTAGTTATATTTGTAAACGAAATTTGTATTTTAATATTTATACTTAAACTATACTTAAACTAAATACTATAAACTCACCTATAAGACTCATGTGGCTCGTGTGGTTATTCTAGGGCATCATAAGTCGCATGTCCGTCTTGTTACGTAATAATGATATTCAGGTTAGTTTACGTAATTTTTGTCAAAAAATAAATGCAAAAATCACAGTTGTTCCAGTCATCAGAAGCGTCGTTTCAATATTATTTGGTCGACTGGGCAAACTTACTAAATGTGCCAACTGACGAAGAAAGTCAGTTAAAAAAAATAAAATAAAAAATTGTCTATCTTATTGGTTTAAATATCATCTTATTTCATAGGTATCTATTGACTATTAAAATATATTTCATATCTTCGTACTAATAAAGAAATAAAGATAAATATTATTACATTTTCGTATAATTTAACTGTCATATTTTATTTTTAGGGGATTGGTGACAGTGTATATTTCAGTCAAATTAGACCTAAACACCAGACAAAACTGTAATAATTGTGTTTGTCGGATTTCAATTTTAAAAACGGATTACAATTATTTAGGTTCTATACTAGGATATTTTGGCAATAGAGATTTAATTATTTTACTTGATATCTTAAACATATGTGATTGTATTTTTGGAATGTTTTTAAAATTGTACTTAAATTATTTTGCCTTTTACTTTCGATAACGAGAACAAAAATAATTTTAAAAAATAATTCCAATACATTCTAGTAAGGTACCAAAAAATCTTTATACATAATATGTTTTCAAAACTAAAATTCGTCAAATGTAATCTACACACATTTTTGTCTTGTTTTCCTGTCTAAAACGTAATATTCGTTCGTTAAAAAGTTAGACTGGGACAAATATTTTGTAAGTTTCCCCTCTCTTTCAAATTTGAAATAATGCCACTTGACATTTTTCTTTCGCTTAGCGAAAGAGCTCCACTTAGTGTAGTTTTAAAATGCGGATTTTCTTTTTTCTTGGAAAAAAACATAATTTTTTACGTTTGTAAACTTAAATAATATTTTGAATGGTCTGTATGTTTTATGCAGAGCCGGGGAAAGTTTCGAACTTTGTATACGAGTAAAAAGCGTAGAGTAAAGAACTGTACCTATTACTTACATACTCGTCTTTGTATACCTATATACCTATATAATAGTCATTTCGGATAGACTTGTTGAAAAAAATTCCATTGAGTTCTGAGTGGCGATATTCGTGTGTGTCGGACATAAATGAAGTGGCCACTGCACAAGCTGTTTCGAGTATATTGTTTTAAAGAAATCTCGCCGTGTCAGCGGAATGAATTGAGTACCTAGCTATGTATCTATATAGCATATATAGGTATTTGATATGTACGCATTCTGTTCCGGAACGTTCGACTAGAGGTACTTTCCTCTCCCCTCCCCCCTCTCACTCAATCTTAAATAAGCTATATGCATTTCGTGCAAACAACAGCTGTTTTTCTTGAAATCTGTTTTATAACTTACATCGATAAAAATAATATAAACCCGGAACGTTACACCGCGCGTTTGGCATTAAAACGTCGTCGCGTACCCATATTATAATATGCACGTCACGCGTAGCCGGCGTTCTCAAACGACCTTATTGTGCTATTATTCTCAAACCACTATAAGTATTATTTGTATTTATATAAAGTAAACTAGTCTGTTGTCTATCTACTGTAGCATTGCGAGTATACACGACGACAACGACGACAGTTTCGAATCGATTTCTACTAGGTAATAATTAAAAAGTTAATTTTGAATCGACGGACCACGTAATGAAATGGAAAGGAAAATGGCGTTTCAAAAGTCGAACGTTGTGGACTTTTCATTTTTATATTTTTTTGAGATTCTGAGTGAAGTCGAGAATAATAGAGACAATACGTCTTTATTAGGGTGCATTTTTTTTTTCTGTCATCTGTAGGTAAACATCTTTTTGAATACTAATAATGTTCCGATCATCAGCTTCAGGGGCGGTTTCCGTAGGCGAATTTTGTTTCGTCGTTGCTCGGGGGAAAGAAGGTAATTTTTCGATTTTCTTTTTAAATGTTAATAATTTAAACCGACAAAAGCATTGGTAAAATGAATTACTTCTTACTTTCTCACTTACAACAGAGGCCAACCATGGTGAGAATCATTTATTTATTTTACTTGGTACGCTTTGTCTCAGTTTAAATCTTTATTTACTACAAACATATATTTAATAAAAAATGTCTTTTTAGTACATGATGTTAATTTATTTATAAAACCCACGGAAATTCTAGAGCTAAACAATTAGGTATAGGAAGGGATAAAAATGAATAGAAACAGATTTGATAGGTAATCAATAAATTATTATATATAGTTCAAAAAATGATAAAACAGTTTGGACCCTAGGTATAATACATTGTTGATTATTACATTGTTTATTCAATTTTTGTTTTTATCTTCGTTCGTAGCACATAATTCTTTAGTTGAGATATATTATTTTATAAATATTATATTATAATATAACATGCGTCAATATGTGCTGCTTACACGTGTTATTAAAACCAGTCGACGATGTTTGAGCTTCGAGTTTTCAAATAAATTACAATACGACATATTATACAACAATAATAATATTATTATAATGATTTAACATCACTAGGTATCTAATTGGTTTGTATTCTACTGATCGTTATAAAATATAGGTAGATATTATAATATTTAGTCATTGGTCACACAAATATTACTAAAATTTAAAACAAAATCGATGTACTTAATAACGTATAAATATACAATATAATAATTTTTAAAAATATAATAAAGTGAATTAAAAAATAACATTATATCGTGAAAGTGTATGCTTAAATAAGTGTATTTTGATTAAGATTTATAATTGTGTGTGTGTGTGTGTGTGTGTGTGTGTATGTGTGTGTGTGGTATGTGATATTTGTATCGTTCATGTGACGGTGCTAAAAAAATAATATCTGAAAAAAAAAACATGATTTGTTTATAAATATAGAAAAGTAGACGGTAAGGTAATGGTGAGGACACGGTTAAAATTCACATTTTATTCACATTCAACAACTTGTCTACCAGAAATGTTTCTTTGATTTTTAAACGTAGCACTTTTTCTGAAAGGAAATATTATTGGGGTGGTACTTTAAGAAGGTTATTTATTGATTTACCCGGTAATTTTCAAAATAAATGGGGAAAACCGGGGAAAATTTACGAAATGTATTATTTTCAAATCGTAAATATTACGGCCTTTCAAAACATGTATGACCGATCCAAAATCCGCTCCTAATCGTTTTTCATTAGCAAATGATTAATGGTTACGTAAAGATATACATTAAATTTCCACTCTACCTTCCCAACTTTTCAACTACAACAGTGGCTCACCCATCGGGTGAAGTATGTCCGTTTGTTTTTTTTTTTTTTTGTTTCCTTTAAACCAATTTAGTCAATACGAAAAATATAGTTATATGAAAAGCTTTAAACCTACTGCAGTTGGGTGTTTGAATTTTCAACGAGCTTACGTCATTGGGTTAAGTTCGGTGGCATTTAAATATTAATGTATCTTCCTTTACCCTTTGTAAAAAAATAAATAAATTGTAAAATTAAGTGAGTGATCCTTGACCTACACTCAGTCCAATAACCGGACATGCCACTGTATAAAAATACTTCACCGTGGTTTAAAAATAATCGTTTGTCTTTAAAGTAAAACTATACATTAATACATTTAATAACAATTGTAAATATAACAACTTTAAAAGGATTTTCTATACACGGTTTAACCGATGATTTTTAGGTTCTGAGCGCTGCGAGAAGTATATTGACTTTACCACGATGTGTCGGATTTATTTGTCTAAAAATTATGACCGTCAAAGACTAAAAAATAAACTTTTTTGTAGATATTTGGAACTAGTTGGTGATTTATGGAGTTCTTTATTTGATTTTCCTAATAGTTTTCATAATCATTTGTGAAAAACCCGAACAAAAGACAAATTTATGGCAGTAAAAGTTTCATTATATTTGATTTTATTTTTTTTTCCAGAAATTTTGCTCTGAGTTTTAAGTAATGCATCTTTTTCGGAAAATTTTTTTTTCTAGTTAGTTAGTAATAGTTCTTTACTTTTTCAACAACCAGGAAAAATCGGGAGAAAACCTATAAAAAGCGGTTTTTTTTTTTTTTTTATTGTGATATTTGGCCAAACAGAAAAGATTTCCAATTTAATCCAAGGTTCATTATAATTTATAATAATTCGCAAAAAAAAAGTTTACCATAGTTCGCAATTTTTTTTATAAGTGCTTTAAACTCAAATTTTTACCAAAACCGTAAAAATTAAGGTATTTCAAAACATATTTAACCGAAAGTCACTTAGAATCATGTTTTGTCATCATTGATTTATCGTTTCATACAGGTATATATTTAATAGGTTTAGTATCCTAACTCCCAACTTACCACTTACAACATTAATAACACGCCCATTAATAGCATCAGCTTTAAAAAAAAATGTTTGAATATCTTTGGTTATTGCCATATACATTAATTATTTATTTGTTTGGTTGCAAAAACTGTTTTCCAGAAAATGAAGGCAATATTATAATCGTCTTTTAGATTTTATCATCTTTGAGGTGTTTTTAAATTTCGAATAAATAATATATATATATTTTTTATAAACACGAAAAACCATTGCTAACGAAAAAACGATTCTGAGCGGAGTAAAGTTGATAATTATGCTTTGTCAACAATATATAAGTCATCTTATAGTAAAATAATAAAATAGGCTTTATATTTTTTTTTTAATAATATTTGTTTAACGTTGTATCGATTTTCTCAGTTTTCCTCCGTTTTTCCTGGTTTTTCCATGTTTCTTGGTTTTTCATATTTGATGAGAAAAATCTTTGAAAAATCGAAAAATAACCTCCCTAAATTACCGTAAAATTGCCATAATTATAAATCGGAGCTAAATTGCTTGTAGAAAAGTTCTTTCTTAGCAAAGAAGAAGGAAAGAAGAATAATATATTTTAATGAGTATCTAAATTTCTTATATTTTTCCGTTCCCCCGTTTTTTTTTTCAGTTTTTCAAATTCGATGATAAAACTCCTGAGAAAATTGAAAAATGACCTCTTTAAATTACCTACCCAGTCGAATTTACTTTTAAAAAAATTGCTATCATTATTGATTGGAGCAAAACTGCTGGTAGAAAAGTTGTAGACAGAAAAAAAAAATCGTAATATTTTAGTAATATATTTCGTATAATTTCCCGTTTTTTTTTTCGGTTTTTCACATATGATAAGAAAAATTTTGAGAAAATTGAAAAAATACCACCTTAAAATACCTCTCCACACCGATTTTCTTTCAGAAAATGTGCTAAAAATAAAAATCGGAGCAAGATTTATGGTTGAAAAGTTGCTCACAGATTAAAAAAAAGAAACCATGTTTGTAGAACTATAAGTTTCTTTGCTCCATTTAGAATCTCAACAATTTGAAAATTGAGTCAAGTTATATTTATTTGTTTTGAGAGTTTACAATCAGTATTAGATATTAAACGTAATATTTTACCTTTTAAGATAAGTGGATAATTTGTTTGGTTTTATCATTTTTCGTGTTTTTTGGTATCAATACTCGGTGCTTTGGACAATGTTTTCTCCGATGATTTCTCGGATGTTTTCTCAGATGATTTGTCAGATGATTTCTGTCGTTCGACCTTGCCTATTAATAATAAAAAAAAAAAAACCGACTTTGCTATACATTTTACTTTAAACAGGTTTAAAAGGTTTAACTAGCTCATATGAGTTTAAGTAGTTTACAATAATATATACGTAAAATTTAAGAGTAAGTATATTCATATTATTTGAATTTGAATTAAAATTCTCTATATCCTTACTCGTGCCTATAATAAGTAATGAATAATATCGAACTTGTTCATCGTCCCGGAAATTATTATTATATTATCTCAGCATAAATGTTTTATATATTAATATCTTATATATTTTGTGGTTGGTAACAAGGTCGCCACTAAACATATGTTCGGGAGAGATTTTAAATTAAACCATATATTATTTTTATTGCAAACATAAGTAGCATTTATTTTGAAAATAACAAATAGTACTTATGGACAAATTTCGGAGAGTGGCGGCGATGAAGAGGGATAAACCTCAAAAACTTCCTCTTATATATTATAATGCATAATACATGCTGTGGATTTTGATTTTAGTGTATTTCAATATACCTATATATTTTTAATTCTAAATAAAGCATTGACATCTGAGTTTATTAGCCTATTCTTTCGAAAGAATAGATTGGTTGCTACGGAGTCTTCTACACTGTATCTAAAGAAGCGAAGTGGAATTTTAAAATAAAATACGCCCGTAGTTGTGTATTTGGGGCGATCGATAGTAACATGACTGATTTATAGGTTTTTTCTCCATATACCACAAGTATAAGTACCGTGGTCTATTCTACTAATGCGTTTTCGGCGTGTTTGGCGCGTATTGATCATTACAGGTAAAATACGCTGTTTACGTGCAAAACAACAGCATTTTCTTATCGTTAATCGTAAATTACGCCGATTACGTATTAGTGAAATTGACCCCCTCTCCTCCGGTTCCTTGCTGATAAAACAGTAGGAGTGTGTTAGGTGCCCATGCGTCCAACGGGGTCAATCGATCGACAGGACAATCGACCGAAAAATAATATATTATTTGTCATCGAGTGTCGATTATACTCGTACTACAGTATATTTAGATTATGTTATTAGAATCGATTCGATGTGAAATCCTATGGAAAAGCCGTAGTTCAAGTAGTGTTTCGCATATTTGTTTCATATCTATTTACAAATTTAAATGTTTTTACCATCTAATCTTCACGGTATTGTTCACAACCTAATTGGTTAATGTTTGGTTATTAATAAATAAATCATTTTTAGTATTCTTTTTCATTATTTATAATTTATTATACATTGTACATCGTTAAAAATATTTCTTATCTGGTTTTTTTATGCGTAGATTTTTAAAATAAATATGTAAATTGCATTTCATTAAATAACTACTTTTTATACTATTGTCGGTCGATTTTCCTTGTCGGTATTTTGGTTTCAGGCGATCGACCCTTTATATTCTCGTTAGAATAATTACTATCCCGTGTCCTCCACGTCTTCATTAAATATCGGGGGATAACCGCACTTTTATACGTCGAGCTTTATATTTTATAATATTATAGAGATGGATTATTCCAATGTCGCTCTACCAAGTTTCCGACATTTTATTTTGAAAATAATACGTTAAGTGCCACAGATATTGATAGAGTATATTTTTGTGAAAGCCTTTTAGTAAAGTGAATGCTTTTGATACATTATTGTAATAATGTATTTAGATATTAGTTTCAGTACTATTTTTTTGTGCATGACCGAATATTATAACGCATCAATAAGGCATTATTCAATTGGCAATAATTGTTAGTGTCATCGTTTGAACACAAATGAACTAATATATTATAATATTTGATGCCAGTGAAAATAACCTTTCTATAATACCAATCATTTATTCGATACCAATCGTTTAGGTTAACGACCCGCATCGGATTTCAGTATTCATAATAATAATAGATGTATTAATTAATAACAGTTATGGGCGTTGAAGAAATTAATCATCCGAACGACGCTTTTTGCAATTTAAAATTAAATTCGAATGAATATACTATAACAGTTTAAAAGCGAAAATTCCACCGTATAAATTATAAGTTAGGGCTTTATATGTATGCGAACTGCGATGCATGGGCAACGAATATGTTTGAAGAAAAAAAAAGATGAATTTTCGCAAGAAAAATATTTAAAAAATTCCTGGAACCGTAGAAAAATGACAATGAAGATTGTGTGATAATAACGAAAATATAATATGAAGAAGTGGAATAATTAGTGTTCTAAAAAGCTCCAGATTGAGTGGATCTACGATGTGTAGAGATGGGGAGGATTATTTGTACTAACGAGATAGAAACCAGATATCGGACGCCCTAAATAAAGTGATAGAGCTTTAATACTGTTCGACGTGATGGACGCAGTAAGAGGCAATGGAGGACAGCAAAATATGAGTACAGTGTGTGTTATGGCAATGGTCCCAAATGGTACACGAAAAGTTTAATTTTGGATTCTCACAGGAAGTGGACAATTGATACGATTAAACAATATTAATTATTGAATATTTAATATCGTATTATATTCTATCAATTGCGTATGAATATAAGTTTAGAATAATCAGTACCATACGAGTGTCATAATAATTATAACCTCATATCTAGTCACAAATCGCGTTAAACAAAAAATAATAATAATAATTGCGTTATGTATGCAATTGCACCTATTTCTTAGGTGGGTACAGTTGAAACAATTACAATTTTGAAAAAAGATAATTTTAAATAATTTCCTATTTTAGTTTATTAATTTGCAAAATTAACATTATATATACATCAATGTCGTGCAGCGTATGCCTATAACACATTTTTAAAAATCGCCAATTCAATATTTATCTACTACAATAATAAAAAGAAGCGTTTGTTTGTCTGTCTGTACGCGATCCACAGCAAAATGTATCGCAAGCATATGTCTAAAAATGTCCATACAGTAGCGGACGAGGACGAGGGGATGGGTTTGTGTGCACCTCGAAGCAGGATTTCCAAAATTTAACCCCCTAAAAGGTGGCTGTCACAGGTTTTTAAATATTTTTGGGCATAAAAATTGATTTTCCTTTTGTTATTTTATGGATTACTATGGTGACACGGATGAATAAAAATGTTGCTATTAGTTTATTTTAGTTTTCACGAACAACGAAGTACAACAGCGTTTAACAGCGAAGGGTTGTACCGGAGATACACGTTGAATTGAATTTCTTCGATTGAAAGGATTTTTTTTTTTTTTTTAATCTGCTTACAAACGGTTTAAAATAAAGAGGGAAATTAAATTGATACGGAAAACGCCGGACAGGACATTAGGTATGTATATATATAGAGAGAGAGTAAAAACTGCGTAAATAATACTATAATATTTAAATTTCTAAACTTATACTAATGCCTACTTATACCTACATTCTTCGCACACTGAAAACATATCCATAAACACACCTAATCTAACCTAACCCACACACGCACGCACACAAATTCCACAAATTTTTCATGCAACCTTGACCAAATGATCTCACATTTGAAAACTTTGACGTCGTAATCTTTTATACGCGCCATCGAATTGAAAACATAATACGTGTCTTGACCCTTTTAAATATCTGTGAAAAAAAAAATAAAACAAAAAACACCTCACCTCACCTTTCCCATTAATCAAATTTTTTCAAATTATTTTCCGTCAAAGCAATCAAAACGTAATTTGAACATAAATATACGAAAGCATCTGATTGCATACTGATTCAATAAACTTAATTTACCGCCATCAATTATACATTCGTGGTTAGATAAACATTAGTTTTAGGTACTAATTTTCAAAAACAATTTATCGTTTCTCGGATATTAAAACGATAATAAATATTCAAAACTGCAATGTTGTGTGAATATACAATATACTTGTATAAATATGCCCGTGTTGTTAAGGTTGAATTTAATTGTTCAGCTCGTATACGAGTCTATACAAATATAGGATGCCATTCGAAAACCAAAATTTGTAACGGAATACGAGTCAAATTGAAAAAAAAAAAAAAACATTTTGATTATTAATAAACGTTTATATATAATGTTTGCGAAAAAAATCGAAATAATTTACGCCTCGACATCTCCGCGTACAGAAAATCGCGCGATAAAAGAATCACCCCGCGATTATATTTTATTATAAAAAACGGAGAAGAAATGTCATTGTTACGCGAAACACCCGCGGAGTGTCTAAAATATATTACGACGTAATGACAGTTGGCGCATGTCACCATATAGCATGTCATAGCAAATATTACATCGTTTCAACGATTTCGATTCACCCACTTAAGTATGACCTACGGTATTTGTGCGGGTACTAATATAATACAAAATATATAAATCTCTCCGTCTTTGTACCACGCAAGTGGCACCAGGTGCTCGTATTCTCATCCTCTACGCATCTTTCCGCATCCATCACCACGTTTCCCTCGTCCACTCCGCGCACCCTCGCGCAGTACCTTTATAATCTCTAGCCACTTTTTCTCACGTCCATCTTTTCCCCGGTTTATTCCATCTCAACATTTATTTCACTATCTCCATACAACCACCGAACCCGGGTTAACGTTATCGCTCTGTCATTTTCGCTGTGCCCGCTAACATTTATTGTTATTTCATCTAAATTTTATTCAACGCCCGACGCACGGGCCCGCACGTGTATCGTTGTATAATGATCGCCGCGCCTTTTTATCACACTGCAACGCTAATGCAGTCGCCTTTCCTCCCGCGCTTGGTCCAGTCACCGCATACAGTTGCATAATCCTGCGTTCACTGTGCGCTAATATATTATATTACGGTACACTGCACGTATAGGGTGTGTAAAAATACTTCGATAAATGCCGGCCGTGGACGAGCTGCCGAACATCCGGAAGGTGCCCATACTGGGTACCCGGTGTTGTTATAGTGCGATGTAGTTCGTATAATTTAACGCACAGATATCATCCGTTGTGCAATTTTTCCCGGGGAAGGTTCAATGGTATTTTAATAGTAAACGTAAACGACGGGCGTTTCGCGACCGCGGACAACCGTGCGCTAAACGGATTGAAAACGTAATACCCAAGTACGGATTAGAAAAAAAAACGTGAAAGAATTGTCGAAAATCAAATCCGAACCCGGACCCTCCCTCTTCCCACCCCCTGCCGCCGGCAGATGTCACGGGGCGCTACACACGGCGTTATAATGCTCGCTATAAATATTATTGTAGCCGATTCGGACGACGACGGCGGCGTGAAATCGGGACGAAAGCGGAATAATAACGGAGAGCGACTGCGACTGGGACGCCGTCGTCCGTCGTTGCGAGTGTATGGTGTGCGGGCGAGGGAGCGGCGAGAGCCGTCAGTGAGATGTGGCGGCGATCGCGACGGCGAATAATAATGTTGTTGTTGTGGTTCGGGGAGACCTCTCTCTTACGAAAACAACGGTGTTTCAATATTATAATACAAAATAAACAAAAAAACAAAAAAAATATATACTCACTGTTTTGCTTTTTCGCCATGTTCCTGTTCCTGGCCCTTTCCACTTCCTGCATGGCGACGCTCGGGAAGGTACCTGCGGACAAAATTGCATACAACGACGGGCATCGCGTCACGCAGATATTATAGGATATCGACATTTTCTTTCTTTATTTGTCGGACAAACGCGGGCGCGAGAGCAATAATTTAGACGAGTATTCCGTACAATCAGCCGCACACTTGAAAACAGGCTCGAATTCGGCGCGAAAGTACACACGGGATCGGCCGGGTAGCTTTTTCGAACGTCCAAAAATATGATTTCCGAATTTATATAAAGAGTGTTCTAGAGGGTGTTATCCATATGCTAATATCTCTGTCAACATTCATTTTTTTTCAATTGGGTTTTGCGTTGAGAGGACACAAATGTAGAGATACATTGTTTTCACCCCTTAATTATTGAAAAAAAAAAAAAAAACTTAATTTTTTCACTTTTTAAAATCTTCAAAATAACCTATTTGCAAATATATCAATGTTAATGTGTCATGCATTCATATCCGATCGATAGTTTCTTAGCAATAGCCGTTTTAATATCTAGAGAGATAGAGAGAGTGAGAGAGAGAGATGTGAAAACAAGATTACTGTGTTACGCGATAGCGAATTATAGTCGTAATACAAGACAATAAAGACGGATGTACTTCGCACGATGGGTGGAGCATTGTTGTATGTTAGAAGTTGGGAAAAATGTATGGGTTAGAATACAGAAGAGAATCTCATGTATATCTGTATGCAACAATTAATCATTGTTAACGAAAAACGATTCTCAGCGGAGTTCGGTTACACATGTTTTTTGAAATGCCGTGGTATTTTCGTCAACATTTGATAGGTATTAAAATTTAGAAGAAAAAAAAAAGAAATACTACATAATACTCAATTTTTTTTTTGTACTCCAAAGTGCGACTTATAACGTGTCTTCCTGTTAAATTGTCAAGCATTTCCGTTTAATATTTTTTATCCACAGTGTACCTAGGTATACCGAATACAAATTACGTAAAAAACTTTTAGTGATTAAGATGAGAAAATAAAAATTTAACTTTTCTCTACACTTCTGTCTCCTTGATACAAAACTTGATTGAAAAAAAAAAATAATATAAATATGAGCATATGGATAACACTGTTAGACACCCTGTGTATATACAGACGAAACTACATTCCTCGCTTCGCTCCGAACCTAACAAAACCATATTTAAACTGAAAAATACTATTTGATCGACTTCACGTGTAGGAAGTCAAATCAGTTTTCGGAATTCATTTTACTACGTCAATCGAGGGGAAATTGTGCTAAATCAATGGCGGATCCAGGGGGCGGGGAGGGAAAATAGAGACTCCTCCTCTTCCGAACTACGCAGTATGTTTTGTTTCTCGGACTGCGTTAAACTCAAGCATACCAAGTTTTATCGGTTCAGACGGATTTCCCCGAAATTAAGGCCCGAGCGGTCCGCTTTGCGGTATTGCGTACGTGTTTTAAAGGCGAAGAAAGAAAATGTCGGAATCCGGTCATCTTAAAAAAGTGCGGACAGCGCGCGGCGCCGAGAGCGGTTCGGGGCGCAGGGCCGGAAAAGCCCCGGCACGCCCCGAGCATTATTATCACAACAGCGTTATAGTGCAATTATCGCGTGCGTTTGTATTTTTCGATTTCGGGCGTTCTAAACCCCACTCATAAATTAGCATTGACTGTACCCCCCTCCCCCCCGGGTATCGTTTCGCGGGTTGCTGCGTACTGCGCCCTACGTCGGTGTTGCCGTTCTGTGTTGCCACCTGCTGCGCTCGGCCCTAGAAAATCGATGATCCCGGCGCCGCCGCCGCTGACGTACTACGTGCTCGGCAATCGCGCGATAACGATAACGGCGACGCGCGATAATATCTTAATACTCGCGGTAGACGGCGCAACAAAACGTAGACCGTCGGCGGGCGCACGTACCTCTCTTGCCGCCCAACGCGGGTGGCGCGTAGTTATGTCTCCCGGTGGGAGACGACGAGCTCAACCAACAGTAAATGATGGCCTCTGTGTTCGCGGTTCGTCGGAATGTCCGCCGCGGTCGGCCGGCGGAATCGGCGATGCGGTCGCAGCGAGCAGACTGCGACGGTGGCCGCGCGTCAAACTCGGCGGTGATGGCGACGACGACGGCGCAGGGCTGCTCTCGGCGCGACGGAACGACAACAAAGGCTCGACGCGATGGCGACGGTGGCTGTAGCTGCGTTGACGGTGTCGGCGGACGGTCGCATCCCGCGGAGTCGGAACGGCACTGATCGCGTTCGGGGACGACGGACGGGATCGCCGCCGCCGCCGCCGCCGTCGATAGGCGCCCGCGAAGCGTCATCGGGCGCAAGCGCGGCGCCCCCGCAGCCCCCTGCGGACGCGCTCGCCGCCCACGGTCCGCGCGGCGAGTGTCTTATTTTATATTGTCGTCGCCGCCGCCGCCGCCGCCTTCGTTACAAGAGCGGACGGGAACCGCGCGCGCCGAGTTTTATAATATTTTCACTCGCCCTCTCGAAATTTATGCGCACAATACCGTCTAACGGCCCCGCGCGGCGCGTGTGCACCTATATAACGTTATTGTTGTGTATATTGTGTTCCCGGCGCATCGGCCGCCGGATCGTTTTTCAAACGGACGCGCATACCGTTAGTGTACAGGGTGATTTTTCTGTCCCGGGCCGTTCGTCCGTCGGGGGGTCGAATTCGTCGACGGAAAGTGGACTGTGACCCGCCGCCGAAGGTGGCCAGTAACTGTGTAGTTGTAGAGTTAAACGACATCGGTAACTTTATAACTTTCAAGTTACATTCGGTGTCCTATTGTGACTCGTGGCGGGTTACTTTTTTTTAGAAGAAGAAACTGAAGAAAGTTACATGTTAGTTTCCACTATTCAGTCACCGATATCTTCCGGCCCAGGCCGTCGACATTCGCCCATCACGACGGGTAGAAAAAAATAAATATTTTTCACCCTGATTTTTACATAATACAATGCGAAAACATTTTGTTGACTATGCGCTGCGACTACGGGCAAATCGTTTACAACATCAATAATTCATAAACTATAACATAAACTTAAACATTATTGACCGGTACCTATTACACAACTACTATAGTGATTAAAAAAGAAAAGTCAATAAAAAAAAAAAAAATTGAAAAAGTTACTTCAACTTGTACATTTTTGATTAGTAACAAGTAGCGACTGGTACTATTACTCAGCTCTGCCTTCCGGTCCCTTCGCGAATCAAGATTTGTGTAAAGAACCTTCGCTTAAACAAACTCGAGTACGGAAATTTCAAACAATTTCACCCGTATTCCGTATAGTGTGGCGTATCGATTTAAAAAAAAAAACCCGGTCATCCGAAAACAGAACGGTTTGTTAAACATTCGTGTAGGTATTACGACAACAGCCATACCGGGCATTGCGTGTATGAGTCATGACGACATTTTCCGGAGGAGTGCAATGCGCATTATTAGTAAAACGGTGATAGTGCGATGTACAATCGTGTCCATTTGCGTGCACTCTTTCCGAGTCGGTGTCTGTAAAACAAGTGGGTTATTGTTGTTTCGAAATCGATAACGATTGCAGATGTATGTTTACGTATGTATATTTAATATGCGTCCGCGTGTTTAACGGACCGGGGGCGAAGTTATAGCGAAATTACTGCAAATAATATGATACCGCGGTTCTGCGACGACCGAACAACAAGTCCGCGATGGAATTTTTACTGGAAGTCTTCGTGGATAATCGCCGGCGATCACCCTGTGTATCACACGCGAGCTCCAGTTTTCCCATTCCCTTCCCTACCATCCGCCCTCCCTCCCCCCAGTTACTTTCTGCGCGCTTTGACGGTCACTAAAAACGCCGGCGTATTTAAGATAAGAGCGATTCCCCCTTCCACCCCCTACCCCTAGTCCATGTCCGCGGCTGTGGGAGACAAATCGTTTGTCACGACGATGGTCGTCTCGCACCGTCGTCGGTCAACGAAGACCCCTCGATTCGTCATCCCTGTCGAGCTGTTAGAGGACCGCGCTCGAGGGGATATTATGACACGAAATCCCCTTGGGAATGGATCTTTATCAAGAGGAAAAAAAAAACCCGAGCTGCAATATAATATACCGGTGGTAGACATCCGTGGCCAACTTCGTCCCTTCGCGGGTACAGTGACACAATTACAGAGGGGGGGATGTGGATACGTTCAAGGAGATAAATCACCCCACGGGCCGCGGTTAAGCAAACCGTTATGGTTATCGCGATTCGAGGAGCATTATACGCGACGTCGTGTTTAACAAAAGAGCTATCATAAATATTGTATTATCGTAGGTCAGTTTTTATCAGTCGTAGAGGTAAACGGTATACGACCCACGGTATAAAAAGTTTTATTTTAAACAAGGTTCGGGACTTGAAGCATTCGCTTATTTATTTTTTTTTCTCCAGGTTAGGTTGCCCCATTTAATCTGACAGAGTGTTACGGATATGTACGTCATGTTACGCCCGGTATAATTAAAATACTATTTGAAAATTATTTTATTTTTTTTTCCCATTTCGAAAGTTAAAAAAAAAAAATAAAAATAATAATGCTTTTTACTAGTTTTATTTTATTTTTATTCTTTTTTTTTTTAAATATGATGAAGTTTTTAAGTACTCTTTTGTTGATTTTAAACGTTATACGTCTCGAACTCTGATCGTATAGTCTAAGCATTGCTTTTAAAAAGATAATGTTTATAATAATGCGAAACTATACTCTAAAAATATTAGGAGAAGCCATAAGGATAATGTTATAAAAAAAAAATTGTATTTTATTCATATTATAGTAAAATTGAACCGCAACCCTAGTTGTGCAGCTTCTCGTATCGGAGGGTTTAACGTTTTCAAAGCAATAGCTGTCGAGCGGCCAATAAAAGTTGATTGACATTCACTTTAGTAGTTTTTTTTTCTTCTTGTTTGTGTTTGGTGACCGACGACGCAGTTGCCAAATTGTTATTTTGGTTCACTGGCGGGTCAAAGAAAACGCACCTGTTATATGTTATTCACTTTATATAATAACAAAACTAGCACACCTCCGTCACACGCGCGTATTATAAATAATCCATAAAAAACATACTGCGTTAACCTAATAGTAATAATATTATAAATCGCCTTTTAGATTCTGGGCCGAGTGCGAGCAACGTATCGGCTGTTTACGTATGGCGTGGTTTTGTTTGTTTCTGTCCTTGAACAATTTTTCGAACTGTAAATTATCTGCTCCGAACTTTGTAGTGCAAACCATAACTTGTAAAAACCGTGGGAAAACGGAAATATTTTTACGAAACGTCGGTTTTTTCTGTCGAAATGTTTTATTTTTATATATATATATATATGTGGGTAATTTAATTGGAGAGGTATTTTATAGAAACACCCGCAGTGACCGCAGCCACCGGTTTTATATTTTTAATTTTTTATTGGACGCTGCAACCATTATCGGCCGGTCTAGCTAAAAAGACGACACGCAGTGCCTGCTGTAGCTAAAACGAAACGATAGATTGTTGTAAAAATTACTTAAATTTTTGCGACGCAAAAATAATAATAGTGATCCAGTGATTATATTGATTTTAGGTGTTAAAATCTGCGTTCAGAAGTTATTTTCAATTTTTAAATCAGTCATTTTAGTCGAAAATTTAAACGGGTTTTATTGTTTTTAACTCACAAACAGTATATCATCCGGTACTGTGTGTCGTGCATAGAACAATCAAAGCGCCTAGAAAAACATCTTATATTGGAATCTGAATGTTTTCAAACAATGTACACCCAGAGGTTGAGAAGGACATTAGCCAGTGGGCCCTATAACCCAGTGGAGAGAGATTGCGGATAACAGGGACGTATGGTGAGTTTTATATTTATAGCGGTGCGTTCTTCACAAGAGCCGAAGCCAAAAGAAAACGATATAACGCTCGACAATTTTTGTATATTTTTGACCAGTAAAATTAAGTTCACATAAAACGTATAGTTTCAAATAGTATTAATTATATAAATTACTCAAAATGGGCAACCATTTTTTCCCGGCAAAACGTGTTCACAGATAAATGTACCTAATTATTCACATGTTTCAATGTACATGCACGTTATGTACACAATTAATTTGATTATTAAGGACTACGATTGTTTAGTTAAAATGACGAATCGTTCGAACGACGAATTTAAATTAATTTACAGCAAAATATTACCTATGCATAACTTGTTCGGTATAATCTAATGAAGATAAGTTAGTCAATTCCGGAAAGGCATAATTTACTTTAATTTGCTAATTATTCTGAAACTTTAATATTTCAACCGTACAATATTCAAAGATAATTAAACTTTATAAACGGCCTTTGTTTTATTTGCAAATTGAATTGAAATGTTGTACAAATAAAACGGAAAACCTTCGGTTGCTTTTTTTTCGGCGAGGAACGTAAGAGACTTTTTCGTACACAAAAGACTATAGTCTTCATAACGCGAAATACGGTAACGCTAAACTTTATACACGTAAATATAAATCATAATGAAAATAATAATTTTATACGCAATTATAAGTTCGTGGAAATGTTCAAGTTACCGAACGACTTTATGTGCAGTTGTCTTTATTTTCTGCGTTAAATTTACAAAAAATAAAATAAAACTCTCACGAATTAGGAACATTATTTTTCGTAATTAATTTATTTTCACTCACAGTTATTAAACAATTATAATTTCAACAGTTAGCATTGTGTTATGGCGTCATTCTTTCCGCATCTTAATCAGATTTACAATTTAAAACAATTTTTTACCCGTATTCCTTATATACTGGATTTGTTGCGAATAAACGGGTTTAGTTATTATTATTAATAATGGATTTATACAGGACAATTATATTTTGCATTGGATTAAATTAATTACTTAAGTTATTTTCAAAAGGAATAATAGTACGTCCATACAATAGTAAGACGTATATATTAACTTATTATGGGCGTGAACTGCAATGACAAAATATGACTGTTAACGGTGCGTATAGAAATAAAGCTAGAAGCCTTTGAGAATATCGTGCTAAGAACAATATACGGGCCAGTGTTTTTTTCGATAATGCGTAAAAGTTAAACGTTAAAATGCTGGCATAGAGGAAATATCGCGGAAGTAAAGGAAATTATGAAAGCGTTTTTCATGTGACAATTCATGTGAAAGAACAAAGACTTCGGTGGCTGAGAAAAGTGAAAGCTAGCAAATTAAGAGCAGCAATCAAATGGAAGCCAGAGGAGAGAAGACCTGTGGGGAACGCCGTAAAAACTGTGGACGAACAGCAGAATCTGTAGAGGTTGGAAATGACAGAATTGGAGGAAAAGTTCCGGGATTGTGATTATTGAAGGACACAGTGACGATGTATGCGTTAATATTATTATCAACCCGTGTAACTACGTAATAGTCGTTATACGACGTCGCCCTACATTCGTGGCGAGTTCTTATTAAAATGTCAAACGTGTCACCGCGAAGCCTTTAAAATAATTTTGAATGAAAACTGGGGATTTTATGGACCGAAAAATAGGTAATATACGGTATATAACGTCACGTATTCAAAGTATTTTGGATATCATTATAACTTATTAGTTTTTCACCTTTAACGTATGCGATCGTGAGTAAGAGTGAACTATTTTTTTTTTCTGTGCACCTGAATACCTGCAGGTATTGTTCAATCGGTGTTTTATTGCCATTTTATAAATGACATTTTACCGCAAGAGCCGCCAAAAACCGACAGGTTATATCAATTTTTTGTATGATATTAAAGAAGTCGAAAGCAATATTAAAACTGGGATTGAAAAAAAAATACGGTTGACCGAAAAACGAATAAAATCTGTATAGCGTAATATCTGTCGAACGGTATCTGCGAGCATAATGATTTATGCACTCATAATATTCCGAGAAACCATCATAACGGTTGTCGTGGTCATCGGTAGTTTCTCGTAGATTTACAAATGTGTACAGAATACGAAGTATGTTCGTTTCTTTTCTCTGAATACAATTATTGTTTAAATTGATATTCGCAGGTTAGTGATCACCCCGTCAGACACGGACCTAGAACAAAGATCTGAAGAGGGGGGGAGGGTCCGAAAATTGTTTCACAATACAATGTCTACGGTTCTAATTACAGTACCATAATAGTTTAATCAACCACTATCTGAATGTGTTTGTTCGGGACCAACTTTGGTGGTGACGTGGCGCGCTCTTGTGGCGTCAACAATTAACACGTACTTACAAAATTACAATATTGGAATCACAGTCCGCAGATATGTACCAGGTGATCAATTTAAGTGGGTACACTCATTATCTCGGAAAGTATGTGTATTGACTTTTTTCGGAATTTGTTTTTTAAAACATTTAAGAAACAAACTGCTCTACAATTTTATATTATTATGTTATTTTTCGTCATCCTTATTTTTGGGGATAAAACCAATACTTAATTTTGATTTTCAAATGGTAACCTGTATTAAAACGGCCATAAATAGATAAAGTATTCGTTAAATAAATTTTAGTTTTGACATTTTTGATTTCCGTCAAGCCGCTGGTGAGATATTCCACTTTTAAGGTTGTAGTACAGTGGAGTATCATTTGTGTGGTGGTACTATGCGCTACGTGTTAATGATGCGCCACTACTCTTCTCTGGCCCAACCTTAAAAGTGGAATATCTCGTTAACAGATTGACGGCAATCAAAATATTCAGCACTAAAATTTATTTTAACTAATACTCCATCTATTTATGGACGTTTTAATACAGGTTACCGTTTGATA